CCCCCCCCCCCCATTCCTTTTGACCTTAGTGGGGTCACTCATTAGCAAAAGTACACATACTGTAACTAACACACACACACACCTATTCCTTTTGACCTTAGTGGGGTCACTCATTAGCAAAAGTACACATACTGTAACTAACCATGTAAAGTTTACAGGATTAGGGTCCAAGAAGCCTCCAATTTCTGATACATTATTTGATTTTTTTTTCCTTACAAGCACAGAACAAACGTTCTTACTGTGTAACAGTGGGGTCAGTAATTTTAAATTGAAGTATCTGGTATTAAAGTCCCTCTGGTAACATTGGAGTGCTGTTATAGCCAGGTTGGGCCAGGAAAATTGTGAGATCCAGGGATTTTTGTGATTAGTATCTTTTATTAAACCAACTGAATAGTTGAAATAGACCTAGATGAGCTTTCTAATGCAATGCATTCTTCTTCAATTCACCTGGAGAAGAATGTACAGCATTCAAAAGCTTATCAAAAGTTTATCCCAAACATGTCGTTGGACCAGTAAAAGATACCACCCCACAAAAAAAAGTCTTGCCTCTTGCACACTGAACCCTTTACTGTAGAATAAATGTTTTCTGTCAGTCAAACAACATTATATTTGTAAACATCAGTATTTTGTTCCTATCTGCTACTGCCCTTCTAAAATTGAAGTTACAAATATGCTTAAAAATCAGAACTTAAATTTTGGTGTGGACTCCATTTATCTATCTTAATGCAGAAATAACTATTTTATTTGTCTTCATATTCTAGATACCATATTCTTCAGCATCTCCTGGGAATTACGTAGTAAGTACAATTGTGTGTGTTTGCTCATTAGAATTGTTGCTACATTTTATTCAGGCAAAGAAATAGTTGTCCAGATGTTAAGAAGAGCCCTTGTGTATTGGTTGAGAAGTGAACATCTGATCTGTGTTTAGTTGTTTTGTCTGCCATATACAGTGCATATGTTGATGTTCATTACTAGAACAGTTATCAGTCTGGTTGGAATTGCCCTGAGTGTTGTGTTTTACTTCAGCATATGTTTCTGTAACCAATACGATATATTGTCTTCAATAATAAAGGAGAAAAAACAGCCTTTTCTTGGTGACTCAGTAGCGTGTTTGCATTCGTGAAATTATGAAAAAAAAAGATTTTTAAAAATTAGGAAGGCTTCAACTTCCCAAAGATGTGTATAATATCTCTTAAAAGGATACTCAGAACTAATGTGTTTTGGGATGTTTTTATTCTCTCATGCTATAATTACCTCCTGGAGATCTGAAAACATTTTTTCCACACAGACTTTTATTTTTTTTTGGCAGTCGTACACTTTATTTTGCAATTGGATTGCTCCTGAAATTGGCATAGTAATTTTTGCTTAGCAAACTCTTTAAAATTTATTATATTACATTTAATAGTAACATCCTATGTCTGTCTTTCATCCTAAAGAACCCAAAGAGCTAAATAATATAGCTGTCATAGAGATATAATAATCTACAATATGCTCTGTTTAGGAAACACTTCGTGTATCAACAGAATAGTTTCCTGTAGACCGATAGGAACATACATTGATGTGTTTCCTGTGACTGAATTGCACCAGAAAAGGCACAGTCCTCAAGGATGGAACTCTATTCTTTGTCTTGTGTTTTTTTTGTCTGATTATGTAATTTTCCAAGAATGCTGTTTGAATTCTTTGTGTTCCTTAGAGTAATGAAGTGAAGATATGATGGGCTGAGGACATTAGAACTGACTCACCTGTCTATTTGACTGAATTGACCTAAATATGTTGATCTCCAGGCCAGGCAACAAATCTCATCCTTCTACTACAAAATTTACAATCTATATTCTTTATCATTGTGCTGTAAATACTGGCTAATTATTGATGCTATTGGAAAGAGTTTTCTGCAGGACTTGTGTTTACTGTCTGAATTCTGTTTTTAAATAAATGCCAAGGGTTTCTAGCACCTCAGAGAGAGGGGAGGAGCTTTTCTATACCTTTAGAAATGTAAAGAAATAAAAAAATAGATCAAGGTCTTAGCTTAGGATCCAGTTCTATGCTCAAATCTAGCCAGAGGGCAGTAAGGGTAGATGGCTGCAACAGAAAAGAAAATAATGCTCTTGCATATATAACAAGGGGAGCGGTGAGCAAGAGATTATTTTACCTGTACCCTTCATCTGACATTGATGAGATTGATACTGCAATGCTATGTCCAGTTCTAATGATCACATTTGAGACATTGCACAGTACCTTTTACTGTACAAGAAAAATACAGTGAGATGTTTCCCTCCAGTCAAGCAATATTATATTTGCTAATATGAGTGTTTTCTCCTTATCCTCTACCTTCCTTTTAAAAACTGAATTTGAACAATATGCTAGAAAATCAGAACTCAAATTTTAAATTGAAAAATTGGTGAGGGTGCAGCAAAGAGACACTCAAATTATTTGAGAGTGAAGAAAAAGCCATACAGTGAAATACTAAGAGATCACAAGCTGTTCAGTTTATCAGAAAGAAGACTGAAAGATGACTTGATTACACTGTGAGAGTACCTTCACAGGAAGAGCTCTTTAAGCTAGAGTAGAAAGGCATTGCAAAAACAAAGGCTAGAAGCTGAAATCAGACAAAATTCAAATTTTAGAGCAGTCACAAACTTGTACCAGTGGGGGTATTTAGCCACTGAAATGAGCTACTAAGTAATGGTTTGTCCATTTCTTCATATTTTTGACAAACACACACAAGTTACTGGAGTCAGTACAAGGATAACTGGGTGAGAATTAATGGCCATTAATCAAGAGATGATCTAATGTTTCCTTTTCTCCTTATGAGTCTCTGACATCTGTAGTAAAGCAGGCTTAATTACTTACACAGCTCAGAAGTACTCAGTAGTCTTGTCCAATGAACCTTTCTTTCATTTTTTGTGTCATTGTGACAAGATATTTAAGCAGAATTTGCAGATTTTGTTTGCAAACTGACAGCCCGTGCTATAAGCACTTCTGCTATGGCCTCAAACTTGTGAACTTTGGGCTGTCAATTATGAGTCTTAGTGTCCACACCACCCCAGTCCCCACCTAGAATGCTACAAAGTGAAAGATAAAGACTGGTAGTTAGTACATTATACTGTTATCTTTGTAACAGCCCGGAAGTGTGTGAGTGAGTGGACTGCAGGGTCATGGTCTTAATGTACAGTTGTCAAACTCATCTGACCCCATGGGATGAATCACTGTCCCTGAGCTGGTGTGCAGGCCAAACAGGGGCCAATCCCCTGTGGAGCAGCCAGGGTCCCAGGTCCAACCCACAGACTGCACTCAGCACTTGCCAGTCTCCCAAAGGGTCAGTCTGGAATGCCGCATGTAGCCTGCACCCCAAACCTGGACTTCCTGTGCTGCAGGTAGTTCTGGGTCCAACCCCTGTGCTGCATGCACTGCAAGCCTTGGGGATAGTGCGTGGTGCATTTGGTGCATGAGGCTGGTATGGAGTGTGTACTCCATGTGGTGCCCCACCAGAATGGCCCAGCATGCTGGCTCTAGGTCCATTGGAGCACTACATGAAGCATCCACCCTGTGCCAGCTCTATAGGCTGTGTGCAGGTTGTGTAGCTATACACCATACATATGCTTCAGGCAGCACACACTAGCACACAGCCCCTGGGGCTGGAATGGGGCACACATTGCCCACAGTGCATAGGCTGGACCTGGCACTGCATGCAGTACAGGGGGCCAGGATGTGTGCTATAAGCAGCACTCACCCTGGACCAACTAACCTCCTGTGCCACCTGCAGTATGCATGTTGCAAGGTCAGGCCACATGCTACATGTGGTCAGTCCAGCCCACAGGCCCGATCTTATGGCTGCATGGGTTGAATCCAGCCTGCAGGCCATATGTTTGACACCTCTGTCTTAACAGGTAAGATACATGTATTCAGACTACACATACATGATAAATTTTCATTAATTTGCAACTAGAGGCATTAATCCAAAAAGCAGTATTACTGATTTTATATACAGGATGTACTGTATCTGAAAATTGTTTATTAGTGTGCTGCTGCCTAATATTCCATAGTTCGCACTGTGTTTTATAAGCCATACAAGTGTGGTTTCTATTGTTCTAATTCCAAAACTTTCCTCCTCTTTCCCAAAATATGTTTTTCATATTATAACAAATATTATATTATAACAGGAGCAATCAGACCTTGAAAGTGCATATGCTGTATGATGTAGTGAACATCATTAATATTGAAATAAAATGATGCTGTTTGGAATAGTAAATCTGCTATTTTTATTTGGAAAGAAATACACACAACAGTGAAAAATGTCTTCTTGTATCATTAATATATAGCATTTTCATATTATGGCAAAACTTAGGGTTGAATTTTTATTGCATATTGGAATATTTTAATCACATCAATAACTGATAGGCTTTCTATATTTCTTCAAGATATTACTGTAGAGGCAGATGTGGTAGGCAAGAAGCTTTGCTGCTGATCATGTTATACAATTAAGTTGTTTAAAATAAATAATTGGAATATTTTTTAAGAATACAACAAGAACAGCTTGCTTAATAATCAGTGCAGTCTGTTTAAATGGTTTGTTGTTATAAACAAATTTACAACACATTAATACAGGAAATGAACAGGGAAAATGAGATATTTTTTGTTTTTTTAAAAGTCTTTAGCAACAAGATTAACTCCTATTTTTAACCTAATACGTATAATGTATGTATCTGTACTCAAGATATATGGATCCAATGTTACTCTGACACTCCTTAATCCTCCATTATTTACAGTGCAAAAAGTGTATGTAATATGAAATAGTATGACTCAGTTCAAAGTTATCAGAACTTGAACCAATCACAGGTTCAGTCTTAGACTCTGAGGAGAGAGACTTCTTTGCAGTGGTGTGCCTCACCCTGACCACCTTATCTGTTCCCATGTGATTCTCAGGCACTTCTGTGGCCAGCAGGGAGTAAGTTATTCTGCCAGTGCCACAGTGAGAAATCTGCTCCATTACTGTCCACTGAGGGAGAGTAATGCTAGTGTGAAACCTGATGGTAGCAGGCAGAGGTTCAGGGACTCATCTATGTCAGCAGTTCTCAACCTCAGCACACCCCTTAAGACTCAATGCATCCCTTGGGAAAATGTCAGCTTTTAGCTCTCGCTGTTTTGGAGTATGGAAAAATAATGGAGCAATTCTTCTGTGGAAAAGAACTCAGAAAAATGGCAGCAGGTCAGAATGTTTTTGTCACTACGGATTTCTATTTGAAATCTCTGGGCTTATCTTGTGAATCATTGTAGGTGTCTGTCTGCTCGCCTAACAGTGCTAATATTGTGCAGCACCCTATGGCACCCGTAAAAGGATCACACAGCATTCCAGGGTGCTGTGTCATCCTGATTAAGAATCACTGAGCTATGCAGTAAAAACAGACCCTGTACCAAGTGCACCTCTTGATGGAGAACAATAGGATAAACGTTTCTTGTTCAGTGTTTCTCCCTGCATCCATGGATCTGCACACAGTAAGTCTCTGGTGTAAGTCAGTACATCCATGGCACATCATGGATTTAATCTGCCCTTGGGTAGATTCGTGGACTTTTCAGAACTTGTCTAATGGAGAACATCTTTGTTTTGTGCTATGGAAATGTATTCCTTTTCAGCAATACAACTGCAACCTTTTTGATATGTTTTTTTCTCTCTTGGATTATCTTTGCTCTAGTTTGACATTTTTCCTTTCATACTAACTGAATATTTTGTACCCTTTCAGGGTCCTCCAGGGGGTGGAGGGCCTCCAGGAACACCCATCATGCCTAGTCCAGCAGGTATCCAAATCTATTAAGAAAATAATTTAAAGACAATGCCAGTAATGTTCTGGATCAGGGGTTAGTAATAAGCAAATAGTTTATTCCTGGTGTAGAAAACTAAGTCATTTGCTACCAGTGAAGAGCAATGGATTCATCCTTCTCATGCACATTTCAGCAAGCAAAAGCCAATTACAAGTTCACCTTTTTTGCATATAAACATTTTTGCACCTCTCTTTCTTTTTTCTTTCTCTCTCCTGTTTTCCTTCTGCTTTGCTGGAGAGAAGCAGCAAGATGGGTATTCTATGTTATTTGTTCCTTCCAGAGCTCTCAAAATCCATTTTTCTGGTCACCATTAGTAACAGAAAGAAAAAAAGAGATAAAATGGAACACACTTTGTTTCGGGTAGTGTTGTTCAGGCCACATTTACCAGCATCTTTTATCCTGTGAGAGTGCCTCAAAAGCATCTAACAGAAGAGGCTTCCAATGGTCCTTGAAGAAGGGTCTCATGGCTTTAGCTTAGCCAACTAGCTCCTTGTTAGCTGCACATTTCCATACATGAAGCCTATGCAAAAATTCCTGTCTTGAAGGAAGGGAGTTTAATGCCTGAATACATACAGTACTTTCTTTCCTTCTGTGAGCAGCATCAGGGATCTGGTAAGCAGGATTTGACTGCTTATGGCCTGGTATCTTGACTTAACCAGACTCTCCACTAAATCAGTCACCTTTCCTCTGGGAATCCTTTACTGATAAAAACTCCTTTGGCCAACATCCCCTTTTATGTCCTTTTTAGCTCCTAAGAAATCATTGCTCTCTGTTCCTAAGAAATTTTTCATCTCCAGAATGCCTTTTATCTTCATTCCAATCTCCCTTACAGCGCTAGTGACACAGAAATAAGAGAGATTCTTTTCAGGAGTAAGAAGCAGATCTTCCCTTGAAATTTTCCCACTAATGATGGAAAATCCTTACTCAGTACATGACTGGCAAATACAACTTGGGATAAAGAGAAGAACCTATCCATTAGCCAGCTGAGAAGTGGATAAATACGTTCTGATAGTTAAATGTTAAAAATTTCTCCTAATAGAAAAACAGGCCCCTGCAAATGACATTCACATCTAAATAGAGTTAAGAAAGGTGTTGTGGCATATATAAGCGGCAACATTTTCCCTAATGAGTTGTTCTTTGAGATGGGGAGATGGGGAAGAATTTGTGGTGCTTTAGGGGCTTCTATTTTCAGCCATCATCTCCCAGAAAATCTATCAAGCAAGCAATCTGGTCTCTGAAAAGAAACTTTCCAGCTGTTAATGTCCCACTGGATCTGACTGCATAAGTGTTTGCACAAGAACCAGTAGGAAATGGAACCTAATCCTTGAGGAGAGCAACCTTCTGTTTCAGAAGGTTGTGGTAGTTGAAGAACTTGTTCCCATTTGGCATCTTCTGCTGCCCCTGAAAACCTTTCTCCTATTTGATAATTTTCAGTAATAAGAGTTTATGCAGGCTAAATATTAGGGAATAGTTCCTTCCTTTCAGACAATATGGTGATATTATTCCCTGCAAACAATGGATTTATCATGTCACCAGGTGTAGTTACTGCTTAGAAAGAGCTACAATAAAAGGTGGGGTCCATGAAAGGAATAGACATTGGACTTGACTTTATCCCCTTGAAGCATTTGTCAACATTTTTGGCTTAAGCCCACAACGCATTCCCTGTACCGAGGCACTTAATTCTAGCATGTGCTCTCCTCCTGTGACCTTTCTATTTAAGAAAATTCATTTCACAGTGTGTAGAAAAGTGGATATACCATTGAGTAGGGAATTAATCTCAAAGCTCATTTATCTCTTTTGTAATTGTCTCTTGGACAAAGAAAGGGGTATTCTTTGTGGAGGAATAGTGAACAGTGGCAATCTGCTCATTTCTCCACTCATTCTACAGCTATGATAGACATTTGGCAAAATCCTCTTTCACTACATGCGTCCAAATGGCAGTTTCCAGCTGCATAAACGACATTTTTGTACTTATGTATAGTTTGCAATTCTGTTACCCATTTAATGTGGATACTCAAGCATCCATATAGCTACAGAGCATACACAGTAAACTACATGAATACACAGATAAATATCTATGTACTTGCGCATAAGTCCTGAAAAAAATGAGGAGGTAGCCTTCCAATGTTCTCATTTCAATATCTGAATAGTTAGAGCGCTTTCCCAGGAAGCACAGTGCTATCCCTGTGGAGTGATCATAGAATCCTGCTCCTCCATATTATACCCTTAAACAAGGATGACTTGAAGTTGTCTTGTTGACTTGCCACTGGTTATCTAGTTGTTAGCTGTTATCCAGCCCCACTCTTAAATCTGAACTTCAGCACTTTGTATTTAATATTAATTGGAAAAAGTGGATGGAGAACAGTGGGTAAATTTCTGCCTCATTGGAAGCAATGGCACAGGCTAGAAGAAAGAACCTGGTTCCTTCAAGAATAGTATCTCTCATTGAGCCATGTACCTCTAGCTTATTCTTTTCCTCCTGGCCCCACATATCTCCCTTTCTTGGTTGCCCAGGGGGCCTGCTTCAAAAGGGGAGCTGGAGAAGGTAATGCCTAACCTGTGGCTTAGTGATTACACCAGTGCAGGTTTAAACCTTCTTTGGGTGACACGGTCCTTGTCCCAGGTCTCTGGACAAGTGCTCTAACCACTTAGTTAATGAGACTAAAACATAGGAGGACTGCCATCCTCCTCCTCCATCATAATACCTGCTCAATGTGGAGTTGTACAATATACGTAAGCCCACATACATGGGTATGTAGCCACTTACCTGCTCAGCTAGTGCGTACCTACTGCACATGGTCAGAAGCTGTGTGGATACTTACGCATCCATGCTATACAGGTAGTAGAATTGCACAGTGGCAAAAATGCCCCTTATGCTTCTGGAAAATTGCCATTTAGGTGCATAAAGTAAAATAGAGGTCTGCCCATAATGTCTTTGTATTGTTGGCTGACTTTCTGAAAACGTGTTCTTCACTAGGTGATTTACTGAAACTTTTCTAAAGTCATTCCCAACTCAGCTAATTGTTTATTCTTGGATAGCATACCCATAAACAAATGTTCTCAATGGCAGTATTCTTTAGAAAACATTTCCTTAATTTGCATCTCTGGCTACAACCTTTTCTGCCTTCTTTTTCCTGAAAAATATCTATGAGTAATGTTAACCATTTCATATGAGCTTACCCTGGCAAATAAGGCATCATAAAGGAAAGCTTCATACATACTGATTCTTTTCAAAGATCTTGACGTTGAGCCCTTTATTCAGTCAAAATATTACATAGCTTGAATTCTGTGCATCTTGTAAGTTAAAATCTGGATTTCGGCTCTGGAAGTCTGAAAACTGGGGACCAAACAGGATACAAAGTTTAGCTAGAACATCTGGATGAATATTAGAACTTTTCGCTGGCTATTATTGTCCACATAATGAGGAGAGCTATCCATTGATTTCCACTGTGGAACCAGCAACATAGAAATTTTTAAGCAAGGAATTCTTTTTTCATAGAGGCAACTGAATGGAAGCAAAATAATTCAGGGGGTTCTTGGAACAAGAACATGTGCTTCAGGAACTCAGTAGTTGCAGATTTACAGATGTTTTAAACATCTGTAAATCTGCAACTACTGAGTTCCTAATGCCTAAATCTAGAATGTAGAAGTAGTCATTTCAGCCACTTAGACCTCCATTATATCTGATTCATACTTGAGTTCTCCAGTTTGAGTGGTCACACATCACTTGATTCTCATCCAAAAAACTCATGTCTACTGGAATGCTTTATATTTCTGAACTATTTTAAATCAATTATGTGATATATACAAAACATTCCTTGCAGTCAGTTATTTCTTTTCATAGCTGTGTAGCATGAATAGGAATACATAGAGACAACAATGAAATCTTCCATAACATTGTCACTGTGTAACAGTCGCTCAGATTTAGAAGAAATGTTGAAAAGATAAGAAGAAAATGAATTAGATTAACTTTATCTAAAGACATGTCTTGGCACTTAAATAATATCTGTTTCAGATTCAACCAACTCTGGAGACAACATGTACACATTAATGAATGCAGTACCACCTGGACCTAACAGACCTAACGTAACTATGAATTTATTACATATTTTTTCTGCACTGTACTGTCTTGTTTTACCCAAATCACCAGACTTCCATTATATCTGATTTATACTTAAGTTCCCCAGTTTGAATGGTTATACATCAGTTGTTTCTCATAAAAATTCATGTCAATTGGAATGTTTTTATGCATCTGAAATACTTTGCATCAATCATGTAATACATATAAAATAGCCGTTATCACCGGTTTTTCTGAAAAGAAAACACCTTAAAATTTGTCCATGTAAGGCAGGTAGATGACTAAGGTGGACAGACAGACAGACAAAGGTAGATGTTAGGGACATGACTTAGGCCACACACAGGTGTTACTTTTCTACTGGGAAAATCACTGCTCTCTTGGTAGAAACTGCCAGCTTACAGGTATTCATTCAGTTTGTCTCAGAGAATACATGACTGATCTGGGAGAAAAGTCTTCCCTGAGAGAGAATTTCTCTTATTAGAATGGATACCTATAAGCTTGACTGCTCCCTGATTGGGAGGAGTTGAGCAGCAGCTTCCCATATGCTTTCCCCAAACCGGGGACTGAAGGTAAGGGGGACATTTTCCCTGCAGCTCAGCTCCCCCAATCAGAAGAGTTGAGCTGCTACTTCCCCCTGCCCCCATCCCCATAGCGTTCCTGAGATCAAGGGACCTGGGTCTGAAGAAGACTCAGAGAGCCGTAGCAGCTGGACTCCACGTAAACATCCTGAGAGTCCAACTACAGCTTCCCTGGCACCCTTCCCAAATGGGGGTACCCCTGTCTGGAGAAGGTGTAAGGAGCAGCAGCAACTCAAGTTTTCCTGGGGCTGAGAGGAATTTGAATGGTCCCCACATGTTCCCCAGACTAGGGAGACCCTTAGAAATTTCCAGCACTAAAAATGAACACCTGTTCATACCCTAAATTTGTCACATTGCAGTGTACGGAGCTGGCATCCAGTAGCATATCATCTCTGAACAGCTCTGGTAGCTCCTATTACTTTCTACAGAAGTGATTCTTCTTAGGAGAAAAATGTCTGTACCCCTGAAGAATATGAAGAAAGCTTTTGAGTGTAACCCAGTGAAATGATGTCTTGCCAGTTCTGTAGATGGATAATATCAATAGCTTTATAATGAATGAGGCCTGCCCTTTTCATCTAACTGTGGTTAAAGTTAAAGTAAGCCTATTTGAGACAGTTTAAAATTAACCTTATTCACTATGCCAGGACTGTCCAAGTACTCAGTGGTCAGGAGCCACATGCCACATGGGCCACAGACCTGTTCAGGTCAGTTTACCTCCAGGTGACCTGCTACATCCAAGCAACCTGGCATCCCCCCCACCCCTCCCCTTCCACATGTGCAGCCTCACCTTGCTACCAGCCAGGTGCATTGTGCAGGCAGCTCCCTCTTCTTCTGCTGCATGCAGTGCAGGCAGCCTGGTTCTTCTGCTCAGACAGCTCCCTCTGCCACATATGCAGCTGGGGTACCCCAAGTCCCTGGGCCATAAATACAGCATAGGCAACCAACTCGGGTCTCCCACTGCCATGTGTACAGCATAGGCAACCCAGGTCTCTTCTCCCTCCCCCCACACCTTGCACACAGCACAAGCAGCCCAAGTCCCCTCAAATGCATCCCAGGTGCCCTCCCCCTATGTTCAGGACAGGCAGCCCAGGTGTCCCTCTGCTACATGTGCAACAGAGGCAAGCCAGGTCCCCAACCCCCGCCCATGTGCATAGCACAGGCAGCTCAAGTCTCCACCACTGCACACACAGCATGGACAGCCCAGGTATACATTTATGTATCCCACTAAATGGGCAGCCCAGGTCCCCACCATTGCATTGCCTCACTGCCGGGAGTGGGGACAGGAAGCAGAAGCCGGGGAGGGAGGGAGGGAGAGCTTGGAGCCCCCAGCAGCCACTGCATCAAAAACAGTGAGGGTAGTGGTAGCCAGGAGCCAACAGGCTGTACGTTAGCCCCTTGCAGGCCACCAGTTAGACAGCCCTGCACAATATTGCCAGTAATTATTTTAGCCAAAACAGCAGCAATACAAAGACTGCTGAGAACTTAGATTTACAAATAGAACTTTTTTCTCTTTCTGGTGCTTAAGTTTTGTTTTGTTGTCATTTATGAATAGTTAGAGACTATGATGAGACCCATTTGAAAAATAGGTTGTCAAACATCAAGTAACAGTTGAAGTGCAATACATTTACTGAAATTCTTGGATTCTTATTAATAATGTAGTGAATATCTTTGTTTTCAATTCAGTAACCAAGATTTAAGTCACTGAGCTGTACTCCAGATGCTGAACTGTCATAACCTAGTAGTATTGCAGAAACAATGTGATGTTATCTGCTGTGGTTGTCAGAACAGAAATTTTGAAAACTGATCTAACTCTGGCCTAACTCTGGGCTTATTGAAGTAATTACTAAAATTTCCATTACTTCAGTTAGGTCAGTGCTGAGTACTTCTGATTCACTGGCCATGTTCTGGCGTTCTGCGCACAGATTAATTTCTCCAGAGGTCAGGGCAAAACACAGTAATTGAGATAAATCATGGAAAAAATAAGTAAAAACAATGTTAATTACAATCACAAGAAAACAATACATGCAGAGATGTAGAAGTGGAAAGAATTTCTCCCATTTGGGTGTATTTGGTTTTTGCTTATAATGTGTGCTTCTTAGATTATATGATGTATACCCATCATTAATCCTAACCATGATCCTTTTGCAGTTTCCTTTGGGCCCAGGGTCAGATGGCCCTATGAGTGGTTTGGGTGGAATGGATTCACATCATATGAATGGCTCTTTAGGTAAGAATAACAAATCTGATGAATAATTGCTTTTTATAAAAATACCACAATACCCACAGCTATAAATTAAATGACAATTGTACATGAAAATGATTTCAAGATTTGAAATACTTGTTCTACATCTATCAAAGGTTTGAAAATGATTACATATCAAGATCTATTAAGATGTCTCTGAGAAAAGAAATACCATATTTACTTGTATACCACACAAACCTTTCCCCCAAAATTAATGTCCCAAAATTGGTGTGGGAATCTTAAGTGGGGAAGCCATTTTTCTAGTGGAGTCCAGCAGATGCAGATCTGGAGTCTGGGGAGATAAGCAGGGGAGGGGTGAAGTGGTGCAGTCAGACCCCCAGCTTGTGTCCTGCTCCACACAAAGTTTAAAACCAAGTGCCGAGCAGCAGTGGTATTTCTATTCAGGCAACACATAAGAAAGTCAGTTGACTTCATGGCTCGTTATAGTCTACCAGCTTCCTGCTAATTGCTCTTCACTTGGCAGATGTTAACCCTTTCCCACTTTTTCTAGTGGTGCTGATGTTCAACTAATCTACTCTTTCTTTGGCAGTGTTGCTGTTAGCTACTCCTGGTGTCTCTTCTCCTGTTCCATAGCCAAATATACTATGTTAGCACTTTTCAAAATCTTAGATCTGTCCTTAGCGGTAACTACAGTTTCAGCTTGTTGATGAACAGTCAAGAGTTGCTGACAGTTCAGCTGTGAAAGGGTAAAACTGTAGCTTTTGCCCCAACAGAAAAATGAGAGTAAGGGAGTTGATTAGGTTTTATCCCTGCTCTGTGCAGCCATAACTCTGGAAACATTTTTTTTCTTCATTCTGCCTTTCTTACAGCAAAGTGTATCTTTATTTGAGGGTGTATGGTACAAAAGAAAATACACAACTACATATGTTGCTATCCAGATCATAAACTATATTTCTCCCACAGGTTCAACTGTCTGACTTGCACTATACGCATTCATATATCTCCTAAGCAGTACTTTTAATATTCCATGCTGTGATAAGATTCAAACAGCTGCCTTTTAATCAACAAATCAGAAAAATACAAACCAAATATGTACTCTATTGCATGGTTACACCTGTCTTCAAAGCTATAACATTTTTTATGTAGAACTTACATATAGGTAACTTTCAGAGGTCTTTTAAAACGCATTCACCATATTTTTCTCTTTTGAAATCAGCATGGTCTAGTAAACACATTATAATATCTATTCAGTGTAAAAAGGGAAGCAGAATTAGGGAAAGTATCATTTGAAGGTCAGTGTAAGTCACGGGAACACGGACCTGATGAACAGGAACTTCTGACCTGTTGAAGACTTGACCTGATGCATTTGAAAGCTTGTCTAACTCTGTCCCATCTATACAGTTGGTCCAATAAAAGATATCACCCTAAGAAATCCTTGCCTTTTTCTACAATTAAGCATAGAGAGGGTGAGGCAGTTTACAGGAGCTTCTGAAAAGCCTAGGTGACTTTAAATACGTATATGGGGCTTACAATAACAGAGCAGCTGGCTCTATTTCTCCACTCCAGTCAGTGATAATGTGGGTAAGATGCAGCTAAGAGCTCTCACTTTTCCCCCTACATCCAATCCCAGATTTTGTTACATTGTCACCTGTCTATTGAACAATATATCTTGAGACCTATCCCCTTAAGAATCTACCTCTGAATGTAATGGAGAGGATGTTAGCATAGCTGAGGCCTGAATCCAGTCCAGAATTTGAAGCCTGGAAAACAAGATAGAAGAATGTGAATGAGGATGAGAGTGGGAAAGGCCATAGTGAGATGAGGGGGTGAGAGAGTTTTAAGCTTAGAAAAGAATTCACCAAAACTTCCTTATCAGACTTATTTGGTGCAATTTAAAATACATCACAACAAAGCAAATTCTGAAGAATCTTTTTTTCCAGGGAAGCATTTTCCTGAAATTTCTAAATTACTTGAATTATGCCATTTTGCAATTTTTCAATAAATTCCTTCACGTTTTTTATAAATTGGCTGAATTTTTAATTAAAATTAATGCACATTATTTCCAAGTCAATTAAAGTTATTAAGTATCACTTTTTTGCTATTATATATCATAGACTGAAAATAACTTCCTAGTTATAAGATTAATTACAATTAAAACAGTTGTGAAAGAGCTTTATATCTGCTTAGCATATGGTTAGATATTTTCTTCAGTAAACATTATCAAATGCATTCAAATCAGTTGTGACAGATTTTACTTATATAAATTTTAATTTTAAATACTCCACTAGTTCTTTTAAGAAAATTATTACATGACAGACCTTCAAGTCTTGCCCAGTTTTATAATGCATAACCAAATCTTGTATCTCTTCATAAACTGATAAATCTCCTTTATGCCCTCACTATTAGTGGAAAGCTGTTCTAGAATCTTATTTGCTCTGATGATTATGACTCTTCATCTAATTTCCAGCCTAGAAACATTCTTAGTTTATATTTATTCTTGTGCCAACATTGTATTTTAACTTAAGTCTTCTCCCTCCCTAGTTTTGATAAAGAACAAGAGGTTACCTCTCAGCCTTCATTTCCCTAGACTAAACGAGCCAACCTCTTCTCTTGTAAATTCCCTGATCATCGCATTCCCTGATCATCCCATAACCCTCCCCATGAGGTCTTACTAGGATTTTGTATAATAGCATTAACACTTCCCAATCTCTAGTAGAAATATCTATCCTGATATATTCAAGGTTCACATTAATAATGAAAAAGTCATGTCAAACTCACACAGTTGAATTATAATTGTTTTCTGGTCAACTAATATACCCAGGGCTTTCCCTTCTTTTGTCATTTTCAATTAATGAGTACCCAATGTGTAGCAGAAATTCTTGTTATTAGTCCCTAAGTGCATGACCTTGCACTTCTCAGTATTAAATTTCCTCCTGTTTTTATTACTCCAGCCCTCAAAGTCATCCTGTTACCCTGAATGATATTCCACTTCTCCCCCATCTTTATGTCATCAACACATTTTAATAACACACACTTATCTTTTGTATCAAGATCATTAATGACTATAGTAAATAAAATCGATCCCAAGATCAATTCTTGAGGACACCCATTAGTAACCTTTAAGAGAATGTCTAACAAGAGTGGTGGCTATTTTTTCTGTCATGGAAATCACAGTTCTTTAGAAGTTTTCTGTTTTTTCTCCAATTAAAACAGCATTTTCACAGGCATGCACATACACACCTAGATTTGACTGTGCCATGTAAGCACTGATGTAAGTAGGGAGTCATGCAGCATTATATATCCTAGGGGTAGTTGTACCTCTCAGTTCTTGAGCCTTTCAGTCTGCCTAGATGTTGGTTAAGCTGCTTCATCTTAAGAATTCAGAACACTGTACAAACCAGTTCTGTGGCTCTCCCTCCTGCTAATAGTCTTGGACTAATGGATATGCTAGAAGCATACAGAGATAGCTGTTAGGGCAGTGTGAAGCTTCAGTTGCTGGTTCGATTCAGCTGAGATTTGGCCTGATTTGGCAGCCTAATCTCCAAATCTGAATCATAGTTTCATAGTTTGTAGGGTTGGAAAGGACCTGAGCAGATCATCAAGTCTGACCCCCTGCCATGGCAGGAAAGAGTACTGGGCTCAAACAACCCCAGCAAGGTATTTGTCTAGCCTTGTCTTAAAGTCCCCCAGGGTAGGAACCAGCACCACTTCGCTTGGAAGTTGGTTCCAGATCCTAACCACCCTGACAGTGAAGTAGTGCCTCCTGATATCTGATCTGAATTTACCCTCTGCCAACTTGTGACCATTATTTCTAGTCACTCCTGGTAGTGCTCGGGGGAACAGGGACTCCCCCAATGCCTGCTGGTCCCCTCTCACTAGTTTGTAACAGGCCACTCAGCCTTCTCTTGTGGAGGCTGAATAGGTTCAGGTCCCATAGCCTGTCCTCGTAGGGCCTGCCCTGCTGCCCCCGATCATGTGAGTGGCCCTCCTTTGGACCCTCTCCATGTTGTCCACATCCCTCTTGAAGTGCGGCACCCAGAACTGGCGCAGTACTCCAACTGTGGCCTGACCAGTGTAGCATAGCGGGGGAGGATCACCTCCTTGGACCTGCTTGAGATGCATCTGTGGATGCATGACAAGGTGCGGTTCGCCTTCCTGACTGCGTCCCCACACTGTCAGCCCATGTTCATTTTGGCATCAGTAATGACTCCAAGAT